TCTAAATGCACAAGTAGAAAAGAAGGTTTTTTCTTTAATCTGAAATGAGATCAAACCTTAACCATGTTCCCCCCATGCCCCTCAGATGTGCGGTTCCCTCAGATGTCCCATTAGTGAGGAGCTCCAGAGGCCCTTTTTAGTGGACAGGCAGGGCAGGGTCAGCATCGTCCTGGGTACCACCCCAACACCTCTGATGGGATAGAGCTAAGGCCCTGCAGGGCTTATGGGGGAGGCGAGAGCCAAAACATCATTTTCTTTTTTCTCCTGCTGTTCTTCTGGGCTGCTGTTCCTGTCTGCTTCACCCTCAAGCAGTCGTTCCATGTGGGGCTCTTGATAACAAACTCAAAGCTTGCCATGGACTCTGCACAGGAGCGATGCCTGAAGGAGGCATGGAGAGTCCATCTTTCTATACTTGTCTCTCTTGGGGTGGGTGTTCTTCCCTCCACTGTGTGTCTGGCTTTCTGGATAGAGCACAGCTTTAATGTCAATCTTGGCAAAGGCTAATATGTCTTGCTTCTTGGTCCCACAGATGTTCTAAGTACCATCTTCTGTTTCTCGATGGCATTTACCAGTTTATATGTTTGTTTAATGGGCATCTCTCACTGGTCTGTGATCAGTGGGTACTAATGAGGATGTCATCTTTTGTCCAGCCCCGACTCTGGGCATGTTCCAGCACACACAGGCATGCACGCACTCACTTGCCACCCAGACACAGGAGAACATGCACGGCAGGGTCCCCTCAGGGCAGCATCTGATCCAGTCTGAAGCTACCTCTTCTCAGCCAACCTTTTAGTAATAAAAGGCAATTGACTTTTCACTGTTTCTCCCAACACTGTCTAAAGTAAAAACTGAATTACAAATGCAGTTAGACTGTTCTATACTGGGCCAGTTTTTTTCATCCTGAAGAACTGCTTTAACCAGGCTTCGTCATGTGGTAAGGGAATGGCCGGGCAGGTGGCGCTGAGGCCGGCGCTGAGGCCAGCCCCAGGCCACGGGCCAGGGCTGAGCTGCTTCCCGTTGGGCAGGGGCTTCCTTTTCCCGGTCTTCAGCCCATCAGTGGGAATGCTCCTGGGAGAAGTCTGGCCACATGTGACAGGCTTCTCATCCTTGTTTCATTTAACAGAGGAGTCACAAGAACCAGGAGAAATGGAGCTGGTTGATCAAAGGGGCTCCTGAGAAAAAGAGGTGAGACCATTCCACACGACAGAGGGCCTGAGCATGCAGAAAATGCACTTTTCTAAGAGGAGTCACTTAATGTCACAGGCAGGGGTACAGAAGAGCTCTAGTCATTTGTTCTAAATGCACAAGTAGAAAAGAAGGTTTTTTCTTTAATCTGAAATGAGATCAAACCTTAACCATGTTCCCCCCATGCCCCTCAGATGTGCGGTTCCCTCAGATGTCCCATTAGTGAGGAGCTCCAGAGGCCCTTTTTAGTGGACAGGCAGGGCAGGGTCAGCATCGTCCTGGGTACCACCCCAACACCTCTGATGGGATAGAGCTAAGGCCCTGCAGGGCTTATGGGGGAGGCGAGAGCCAAAACATCATTTTCTTTTTTCTCCTGCTGTTCTTCTGGGCTGCTGTTCCTGTCTGCTTCACCCTCAAACAGTCGTTCCATGTGGGGCTCTTGATAACAAACTCAAAGCTTG